GTGTGTGTGTGTGTGTGTGTGTGTGTGTGTGTGTGTAATGATCCCTTGTTTTGACTGTGAGATCCACCACGGATGATAAAGGTTCTTATTAAAGTGGAACCCCTTCTCCTCACCCCCTCCGTGCCTCTCCATTGTTGCTGCAGCCCACTCTCAGACATATTGACGGCTGTATCAACTTCCATGCCACTGCGTCCCTGCGGTTGATGTTCCTTGGATGGGGTTCTGTGGCTTTGTGTTGTCTGATCCAGGTCAATGTTTTTATTTTTGCGATATTAATGATCWGGAAGGGTAAAAAGTGGGAGGGTGAAAGAAATGTGGGAATTTTCCCGTCTGGCAGACCAGGCTCAGTGGGGATGTGCCTGCTCCGCTTCCCATTGTGGCTCAAACTGGGGGATCAGTGCTACGGGCTGGGCTGGGCTGGGCTGGTAGGAGGGGAGGACCCTGTGGGGGTTTGGCTCCACTCTAATCTGGGTGATTATTACCACTGGGACACACACACACACACACAATCGCTGGTATTTGCTGCTCTGGCGTCAATCCTGACTCCTGTGGTTTCCCCCCAGTCCGAGTTGATAACGTATTCCTGTATGACGACCTGAGATATCGCAGCATTTGCAGGATAAGCATCCTTTTATCCTTTCATGAGCATCGCTTCTAATTCTAAACTTGTTTCTTCTTTTTTATTATTATTTTACTCTGATTGTGTGCACCCGAAGAGGTCAGAGCAGGGGTGCCCAAACATTTTCCTCGAGGGGGGCCAAAATGAAAACTTATCCATGGCTGCGGGCCAAATGCAGTTACATAATACATGAAATACAAATACTTTTTACAGTAAAGTCCTTTATTTTTAAYGATTAAGCTGTGCAATGRCCYTCTTTTGTTTTAGTTTGTGCACTTGGAGAAAGTCTGCCATACGCTCAAGTAGCAAAGGCTCATGGGACATTTCATAAATTGATAAAATATGAGTTTTTGTGGCCTTATAAAGTGTGCAAATCTACATGTGGGGTTAAATCTGATCTAAATATTTCTTGTCGTTTCATGTTTCATGTTTATTCCTAATAAATCAAAGATATGATAGCACCATGACTGAAAACCACCTTCACTACAGCCCTTTTATATAATCATTTAACCAGTGGAAATACTGTGTTTCTACCTATAGGATAACAGGTTACAACCTTGTAAGTTTGGCAACTGTTGGTGGGCCAAACAAATGGCTTGGCAGGCCAAATTTGGCYYGCGGGCCCCACTTTGKGCTCCTCCGGGTCAGAGGAACAGACAGACAGGCTGAGCTGAACAGAGGTCTGCACACGAGCTCAGCACTGTGACAATCTCTCCCCTCCGGTTTAATCGACTATCCGATCCATTCTGACAGGAGAAACAAGGAGCTATAAGCCTAATAACACCCTGTAGACAAACAATGCCGCTCCATATCACATGCAACACAACAATGGAAAGTGGAAGCGCGTTCTCTCCGGCTTTCTCTYGCTGTCACATCAGTGTTTGTTTCTCGGTCTGCTTTTCTCGCTGTGCTCGTTTCAGTTCCCGTCCTGTTGTCGTCTGAATGTACGGAAGCGTTTTTTTTTTTTTTCCTTCGGGGCAGCGAAAGTGTGAAAAAGATTAACGGTGTTCCCAAACCGGGCGGTAATGGATTTTGTGGCGCAGCGTTGTACGCGTAGCTTTTCAGAGATCAGCTGTGGGTTACACCCCCCCACGCACACACACACACATATACAGTGTGTCTGCTCAGTTTTTAGAGGAAGTGGTTTGGAGTAGAATCTGTACTTACGAGAAACGGAAAGCACTCATCCAGAAATGTTTGACCACGCAGCAGCAGCAGCAGCAGGCCCTGTGCTGAGATTCATCATCTCGCTCTGCAGCTGTGTTCTCATCCAGCTGTCAAGTGGATTTTACACAAACGACTCTAATGCTGCGAAAACTAAAGTGAGAATTTGGACGGTTTCCATTCGACAAATACTRTTTTTTGTTTTTTTGATAGACTTGTCAACAAAAAACCCCAACAAACACCCACTAACCAAAATGTGAACAAATCACTTTAGTAAATTAGGTTTTGCTTTTAATTGTTTGCCAGAAATCCCACTCAAACAGTAACGTATTAAAGCAGTTGATTATCTCAGGTTTGRTCATATTATTAACAGTTAAATTCTTGCAGATTTTAATCAGTTGTGCTCTAAATGCTGGAAAGACCTTTTGTCGGCACTTTGCAATGCAAAACAAAAACCCAACGTTTTCCGACTGCATCTGTTTACCACCTGGATTTGTTTCTCCTTTTTTTTTGTTTGTTTTTCAACAGATGCATTTTCTCTTCAAAATTCTTTCCCTTCGTCGGAGCGTAAAATTATTCTTTTATGTGCYGAAGAGAAGAAATCAGATCGAATGTGGAGGTTTTAGAAGTTCAGAAGAAAGGAAAAAAATTAAACGTCTACGATGGATTAGGCTCRTTTTAGTCCAAATGTACATGTGTCAACTCAGGGAGAAGCTGCRTCAGGAGATGGCAAGCAGCGGTGAGATGAATTGTGGGTAATAGGAGGACAGGTTTGCCTTTGATCGGCGATTAGATGAGATGGAGATGAACAGCGGCGTTGTGGGAGATAGGAACTCACACACTCAGCAGAGAGCCACTCGGAGCAGATTTGTCTTTTTTTTTTTTTTACATCTTTATATCAGTTTTACTTCTTCCTGGCTCCCATAGGGCAGTCTAATACACACACATACGCACACACACATATGTTAAAGAGTGTGTGTTGCTGGCACACCCACCCAAGGCTCAAGATATGGGAGTTATAATTGGTTAAGGAGGGTCCTATCACTTTGCTCAAATTAGAGCTACACTTTCAGATGGAGGATACCATCTGTACCGTGCAAGTGTGTGCGTGCACAGATCTGCAGAGCGTGTGTGTGTCTGTTTGTTATCCCAGTGTGTCGCAAAGTGTCTCCATAAGCAAAGTGATGGGGCTAATTTTACCACCTCCATCTCTGTCCCCTGTTCATATCAGTCAATGATTCTTTTTTTCCTCCCTCTCCGTGTTTCTCTTTCGCCTCTTCTTGCCTCTGAAACACCCTCCCTCTCTCTCTCCTTCCTTTCTTTCTTCTTTCCATCATGATCGTGTCAGTCTATAATCAAACAGCAGGCTTTCTTTCTGCTTGGTGGCTTTACAGCTTGGGGTGAGGGGGTGGGGGACAGTCTCCTCCGTCTTTTCAGCTTCACTTTTCTCACTCCCCTCTTTCTCTGTCTCTGCCCTCTTGACGTTCTTTCCCTCCTTTTGCCATCTTTCTCTCCCTCTCCCTTTGAGCGTGACTGCCGCATTAGAGGGAATGTCTTTTCATGGAAGATTTGCTGCAATTTCCAAAATGGCTGCTCTGCCTAATGGACAACTGCCTTGGTTCTAATGAATGATTACATGTATGAGTACAGGGGGGTGTGGGAGTGCATGGGCRTGCAGAGAGGGCCAGAGGACGGGATGAGTGTGGGACAAGAGGGAAGCTGTCAAAAAGTGATTGCAACAATAAAAGATGGAGTGGTGAAAACATTTAGCTTCATTGCTGGGGAGGGGGCTCGTCAATTAGCACGGCTGTCAAGCTCTGGGCATTCCTCTTCGCTCAATGGCTCTGCTTCGGATTCACGGCACAAATCGGCGCAGTCTAAGATGGCTCTGTGAATAAGTGCGTGTGTTGGCGAGGGATGGGTGGGGTGGGYGTGGGAGCGGACGCATGTGGTAGCCCAGCGTGATGCCATCAGCCAGCCAGTACAACCTGGAATCCAGAGGAACTCTAGGAAGCTGCAGAGGCAGCCCCAGCTGATTGGCATGTAACCACGACGGGGAGCATGTGCCTCCGTGTCTACGTGAGCGCACGTACRCACGCA